TATCTTGGAAAGACGTCTTTCCAAGATACATTATCTTGGAATCCCGTCTTTCCAAGATAAATTATCTTAGAATTCCGTCTTTCCAAGATAAATTATCTCGGAACTCCGTCTTTCCGAGATAAATTATCTCGGAAAGACGTCTTAATAAGTATTTATTCCATGTTTCCATGATAATTATCTTGGAAACTCGGAAACGCGGAAGGTCACTTTAAGCTTCCGTATGTACGACTTGATGCCTGTAAAATATGTGGTTCTGGCGGTGGTGTGTAGCCTGTAGTGTTTGGATGACTGTGTATGTGTGCTGGTGCATGACTTGATGCCTGTGAAATGTACGGTTCTGGCAGTGTAGACCGTGATGGTGTGTCGCCTAAAGTGCGTGGACGCCTTTGTGTTGATGATGCACGACTTGATGCCTGTAAAACATAAGGCTGATATGGTACAGCATTGCCTGTAGATTGCGATGATGTGTAGCCTGAGGTTTGTGGACGGCTTTGTGCGCCTGTTGTGTGAGTCATTAGGTGATGAGACGGTTGTGGAGGTGGTTGAGATGAAGCTTGGGTCAAGAGCTGTATGATTTGCATCATTCTTTGATGGTCCATTTCACGCTCTTCTCATCTACTTTTTTCAGCTTCTTTTGCCATATGCTCCAACCACTGTTGGTGATGTTGTGTTGCCCGCTCTGAGTGTCTCATAAAACGTGCCTCTGCTTCCCTATCCTGTTTTTCCAACTCTTTGGAGAGCACTTCAAAGGATTCCTCAAGTTTTGTCTTTCTTTTCCTTTTCTTAGACGGTCGATCATTTGCTGGGGAAATTAATATCAATGAGGCAGATATGAACATCATTTTTCATTAATTTTTACTGTTGACAAGAAAGGAAGAATTTTGTTGTTCCTTCATACTTTTGGAAAAGTCCTAATTATTTCAATTTAAAATTATGTTACAGGCATTTTGTATTTGAAAAAGAGGTTTCATGTTATGAAAATGTTTGAAAAGTATTACATCACTATTACTACACGGACTAACCTGGAGGCTCTTGAACATCCTGTTGATGCTGCCGATCCTCTTGATGCTCCTGAATCCCTTCATCTTCTAGAGTACCCAAACCTTCAACTGCTTCCGTGTTTTCGTCCTCATCAATTTGACTGGCTGTGCTTTATCCGTTGTGGTGTCTGGTATAAAATATATGAAAATTTACTTTAAAAAAATGTGTTCTTCAAAAAGATAGAGTAAACTTAATTATGTGATCTTGCCCATGGTCAGTAGGCCTACAGTAATTTGATTTTTTTTTCTGTTTTTGTTAACTTTATTTTAATGACTGTAAATGTATCTGATTTTTTTTTTAATGACAAGAAAACAGTGGTTTAATCACAAAGTATGTTTTTTTACCAAAACTGTCATCGTCGTCATCTTCCTCCACTACTTCTACATTTTCATCAGCTCCTGAGACCAAAAGAAAAACAAATTGATAGTAATTATATTGAAAATTATTTACCATCCACAGTAGCTAAATGGAAAAGTCAAAAATGTTGAGCTTGCATCAAACACTCAGCTAGGGTTTAGGGCCTATCCTAAACCACTTGAATGAAGTTAAACATTCATTTATTGGCCTAAAATAAGCAAGCCAGACATGGTAATGATTGTTAAGGGGAATACGTTTTATGGCCAGGCTTAGTAGTAGTAGTACTAATGTAAGTATATACTCATCAATGTAAGCCTATTATTATAATCACGATTATACAAAGCATTACAGGAGCAGGCTACCATACAAAGTGGGGCCGGAATTCGTGGGGCCCACCTATCATTACCTACCTACCTACATAGCCCAGACATGCCTTCGTTCGTTCGACCCCCGCGAACGCGAGTAACGACAACATAGCAAGAAAAACCATTGCCTAGTTTTGAAGGGGAATAAACAAGTACGTACCATTTACTTCCCTCCGTCCATCCATTAAAAACGGGGGGTTATGAATTGCCCGGTCGCCCTAGTCAGTTGGACTTGGCCTTTCTCACACTGAATCTATGATTGTCAGTTTTGAGCCTAAGCTCTGAAGTTTGTGATACATCCTAATTAGCAGTTTTTTGGTAAACAAGTTACTAAATCATAGAGAAAGAATTTCTCTATGATCCAATCAGAAACTCTAAAAGTATGGGGTGACTTACTTGAGACACACCCCCATTACCTAAAGTATAATAGGCAAACACCCCCATATCACTGAATCAGTAGTCAGTAGTCAGTAGTTAGTAGTTATAGATTCAATTTAGTAGTTAGGAGTACACAGAAGAAAGTACAGAGCCGAGCTGACTCCACTCTAGGAGGGTTCTCTAACATCTGAAACCTGGAGTTTAAATGATAACCAACGTACAGTTTGTGTGAATAAAAGTTTGCGGTGTACTAAAAGGAACTGTGTTATACTACTCATTAAAAGTCACCAACAACTAACCGATATTTAACAATTCAATACTTAAGGTTACATAAGTATTTTTAGACAGGAACAGGAATACAGAAAACTATATGCATTGTGTTTTAAAGAAGCTGCAGTATACTTTGTTTAAAAAAAAAGTACAACATAACATATGAAGAAGCAGACAAGCTGTGTAAAACAAGTGAACTTAACATCCGTTAGACCATTACTACAATCAGGCAAACCCAAAATAATTCTGAATATGTTTATCATACTTATATGATAAACGGCAATTGATAACAGCATAGATAGAAATGAAACTTAACTCCAGTTAGTGGTTTCTGATCTGAATAATATAAATTTTCCATTAAGTATTTCAGATCAATATATTTTGTTGCATAAATAATAATATAGTACCGTAAAACCATTAGTAGCAGCACAATGTGCTTAATCTCTTAAAAAAAAAAAAAAAAAAAAAAAAAAAAAAAAAAAAAAAAACCCGCCTCGAATTGATATCAGTTTGCAAGAGTAACCTTATAAAGAAGCCCATCTCACAGTAGATACACTGTACATAAATTTCAAATTAACAAATTAAATCAAGATCGAACATTGTCTATAAAGTACTTTATTGATTTATTGGTGGTCAATATACTCTATGGTACAGACTGATATTAAAGTGGCCATATTTATTGATTTGTAGTAGATTCTCTAAATGTACAGTGCATTTATTTTGGAAAAAAATATCTCCCTTCTAGCATAAGTAGCCTCGAAAAGAAGCCCATGCTAAGTTTGGAAAAAAAAAAAAAAAACTCCCAGGCTTCTATTGAAGGTTTTATGATACTGAAAATGTACAGTTCTGGGTGTTTATTCAATCCAGGAAGGCTTTATTCCAAATGAGGCTCAAGAGAGGGGCTTAATATGAAGAGGCATTTATTGTAATAGATATGGTGTTTGGTTAATGCTGTTATTGTTAGCATTAGACACTACTGTATATAAATATTATTATTACTATCATTATTAGTACCATCATCATTATTATTATTATTATCAGTATTACTAACATTATTATTACTCGCAAAAAGGTTGCCGAAGTTTGGAAGGTTATGACTACTGAGGGCGGGTACACAAAGTTGCAAAAGGAATACAGAAAAATGACCGTCGTTACCCTTTCCACGTTTTCACACACCGTTGCCGAACATCACCCCTCCTGATCTACCAAATACATTAGATAATCAGCCTGTGAAGGCAAGTCGGCCAAATTATTGCCATAAAGTTAATATTCTAAACCAGTCGAGGATCCAGGAATTTATAATAGAGGAGGAATTTCACAGATGGAGGGTCTGTACTACCTTAGATGGCAGGAAATGGCACTATTAGACTTAAAATTTGAATATAATTTTCTGTCTGTTCTCATTTGATTATTTAATTTTGAAAACATTTTTTTGGGGGGGGGGGAGTGGGAGAGGCGCAGGTTAGATACAATATTGTGAACACACAGTGTATACTTACAACTTTCAAATTTTCTTTAAAGACAGAGTATCATTTTTCAAGAAATAAATTTGTATTGATGTCTAGTAGGCCAGTAAATAAAAGTCAAGCTTATTATTTCTTAAATTTTCATTTGGAAAATATGGTATTTATATTATTATATTAAGACTTACTGATTGTTTAATTGTATTGATTACTTATTAACTTGTACTGATTGTTTAATACGTTCTGCAGTAAAACTTCATCTGGTTTTATGTACTGCGCAAAAAGAACACGATATAAATGAAATGCTTTCATTGTATGATAATATTATCAAA